GGACATATATAGCCCTAGTATAGGTAGGTAGGACCCTAAATCTAACTGTTAATGCATCAGTAGTATGTTATGTAGGCCTGTGCCCAGGGCTCAGATTGGTTTCGGGCTAGGCTGAAAGATCAGAGTTAGTACAAAATTCCATGCTGAAAACCAGAGAAATCAGCCCATTTTACCATTTTACACTACAAATATAGTAAAAAATCATGTTTCTTCCCAAAAAAATGCTGAAAATTCAGCCTCAATTCTGAAAAAGGTCTGAAATCTCAGCCTTTTTTACCTAAATCAGCCTTTTTTCGCTGACTTCTGAGGCCCTGCCTGTGCCTGTCTAATGTAATTCAACCAAGGTCAACTGCACCCTATACAACATACGGCTAAAATCAAAATCAGACTTGTCCAGGGCCTATTTTATCAGTGTAAATCACACTGCTATACTGATGAGAAGGGTGAATTTTAGGGCCTACACTGATGTGTTTGGGTAATTTTTTTGAAACTTAGTGTTACACTGATTTGACAGTGAAACGATTTAGGCCACACTGATGGTGTGGGGTAAATTTTTTGAAAACGAAGATTACCCTTAAGGGCGTACAAGACACCCCCCCCCCCCCCCCCCCCCCTTTTCATTCCCGAAATTTTGCACGAGCGTGATTTCCGTCAATCACGCAAGTACCGAAGCGGCCTTCCCCGCAGAATATGCGTTGGCAGCAGTCATCTGTGTAATTGGTCAGTTTGTTATGTTTCGAGATGTTGCCTGCACTTAGTCAAATCCCTGACCACATTCATACTGTCGGTGGCACAGATGCAAGCCGCGTCACCCAACGAAGCGACCTACTGCTGTGCCGTGTTGGTTCAGCAAGCTCAGCAGAGTGGGTCAAGCAGTTTCGCAACACTCGGCCATTCCTCCAGCCAACTCCACAAACCACGGTTTTTTTTTTGCCACTCTGTCTAGCATCCACACGTTCTCCACCCCGTTGCCATGGCAGCGCCGAGCGACGATGACGCTGACGATGCCGATGGCGACCCCCATTGTAGCCACGGTCCAAGAACGGGCCTTGATTTCTTACGAGGCCCAGTCTCAGAACCTGCACCTCGTCCTTTGCCCGAGCGTTCTGATGAAAGTGAGGGATGGATGTACCCTGTGCGCAAAGCGGCCCAAATATCACCACCGTACCAGCCTCAAGCTGAGGGTGAGGACGGTGGATGGCAGCGTCCGGAACGCGATGAGGCGGAACCCGTCGTGCACGACTTCATCGCCTCGACGGAAATGATATCTGAAGTCCCGGAGTCTTCTAACTCCGTGTCGCTGAAAAAACGCCGGTACACGCAGTCTACTCTTGGTTACAGCGGCGGCTCGCCTCTCGTGAAACCTGCTCCTCCGCCACCTCCTGTTGTGACGCCATCTCCGTCACCGCTGAAGCAGACTCCGGCCGAACGCGCGGAAGCAAAGTTCCTCGAAGCATAGAGGAATTACATCACCAAATGGCTGCCGCAATTTGATTGGTTGTTGCTTGACAAGGGTGATGATGGTCTGCCTTGTTTGCGGTGCAGTGTGTGCAGCGAACACGGTCCCGACAATGCACGATACGGGCGGAATGGCAGCAGCAGACGGGACCTGCAGCCAGCGTCGATGCGGGCACACCAAGCGAGCTCCCGCCATCACGACTGCATTGATCGCCAGAAGGGTCTTCTGGACAAGATGGCGGCGCAGAAGAAAATCAACGACTACGAGAGGGCTGACCCCGAGGGTGCGCGAGTGACGAGACTTATGCGCAGCATCCAGTTTGTGTGCGACGAGGACGCTCCGATCGCAATGTTCCCGAGGCTCGTCGACTTCCTCGCGAATGAAGGTGTTTCAGACATTCCTCAGCAGACCTACGGTGTATATATCACGCAGTGAGTGGAATTTAATAATTTGTTGCCGTATTGGTGTATAGCTTCCGGAAGGATTAACACCATCCCTTTTGCGCACCATGCAGATACGGCTTCACGGAGATGGTGAAGGCTATGTGCACGTATCAGCAACAGCAACAGCTTATGTACATCCATGCATCACCGTGGATCGGCATCAGCTGCGACGAGAGCACAGACCGGTCGCGCGGCAAACACCTCGTGGTGTTTGCAACCTTCATGAAGGAGCGAGCAGTGGTGACGGAATTTCTCGCTCTACTCACCATACACAAATGCGACGCGGGTTCCCTCTTCGCGGTTTTGCTGAGCCACCTCGACAACATCGGGATTGATCTGCAGCGGATTGTCGCAGTTAGCACCGACGGCGCGGGGGTGATGATTGGCAGCCAATCCGGGCTTGTTGTTCGTCTCCGTCAGCGCGTCCCACATCTGGTCGGAACTCATTGCATAGCGCACAGGTAGGTTTGTTGTTTCCGTACAATCGCCTCGTATAAATGAGTAGCTTCCACGGCCTTAAATTTTTCTAATGTTGTATGCAGAGAAGTGCTTGTCAGAATCCCAACCACTAGACCATTGGGATAAAAGGGCTTGTTTCAGTAGCGGGTCAGTGCGCCCATAACCCCCCAGGCAAATGTGCCTGTAACCCTTCCCTAGGATCGATCGGGGATCACCAGTGGACCTCTGACACCCCCCCGCACTGGGATGCCCGAAGTGCATACACCGGGATTCGAACCCGAGACCTTCGCTCTGGATACCATGTCAGAATCCCAACCACTAGACCATTGGGATAAAAGGGCTTGTTTCAGTAGCGGGTCAGTGCGCCCATAACCCCCCAGGCAAATGTGCCTGTAACCCTTCCCTAGGATCGATCGGGGATCACCAGTGGACCTCTGACAGTGCTCGCGGTTAAAGAAGCCGCGAGCAAGTTTCCGGACCTTGACATCGTCGATGACGCCATCCGTGGGCTTGGCGAAGTCGTCATGCGGTCTTTGGTGTGGCTTGAGCGCTTCAAGGAGCTCCAGCTCGAAATACATCAAACGAATTTGGAGCACCAGGGGCTATTCGACGTGCGTTGGCTATCGCGCGGGGATGCAGTGGCCCGTCTGTGCAGAATTCTAGGGGCGGCGATCGTGGTGTTCATCGAGTACAACCACAGCATGGCGGTAACTGTGCAGACCCTCAAGTTTCACTTCTGCGTCTACTTCTTGGCGGATCTGCTGGCAGAGATAAACGCACTCAACAAAGTTTTCCAGCGCAAAAAAGTAAGTGTTGATTCACTGTGCATGTTTTTCTTCTAGTCGTGTCATTTAATTATACACTAACATTTTTACATGTTGTTCATGTGCCCGTCTCTGGTTCAGGTTGACATCACGCTCGTGCACCAAGAGGTGGATCGCACGATTGGAGTCATCAGACTTCGATACGTGGAATACGTGGACATTTTCGGAGGGGGGGTCAGCAAGCTGCTGTCGCCATTCATCGCACGCCTTGGCAGCGGCAGGCGAACTATCCGCGTGGACGGCACGGATGCGGATGGTGAGCCATCTTCACATCAGATCGTGCTGAGCGAGGCACCAATAGCAGGACACCAATACGGCGGCTCGATGGCCGACTGCATCAAGTTGTGCAAAGCGTTCGCATTGGAGGTGGCGACAAACATGCACACTCGAATGTGGAGCTTGAAGCAAATGGATGGCAGCAAGCTTTACAAAGTTGAAACGTGGCCAGAAGCGACAGACAAGCGGGATCGTCGGGTGCTGAGTTGGCTGGATGCCAACGCGCGGCTCTTCAACAACCGGCTGCCAGGTAATTATCCACACGTTTTTTGTTTTGTTTTGTTTTGTTTTGTTTCGACCTTTCACCTCACAAAATAATGTCCCTCCAACACACGTGGCAGGCTTCAACCACCGAGCGGCAGAGCTCGAGCTGGCCAGCTTCTGCCACATCATGTCTCGCCACTACCAGGACGATGACTTCTACCAGGGACTTAACAAAATGCTAAGGACCAAGGATTGGCCGCGCAGTTTTCCCAACCTGACGTCCATGTGGCAGGCGCTGGCAGTAATTCCGCTAAGTACCGTGGAGTGCGAGCGCGGATTCAGCCGCCAAAACGTGATCAAAAGCTGGTTGCGAACGTCGCTTGGTGACGCCCGGCTATCCGAACTGATGACCCTGAACATGTTGAGCTATGAGTACAAATGGCCCGAGGTGGTGGATATCTGGCGGAAGCAAAAAAAAAGAAGACCCGCAAAAACACCTGCCCCTCACAAGTCGTGCTATGGAAAAGGAAAGGAAAGAGAGGAGTCGTCTGATGGTAGCGAGGATGAGCGTTCATTCATGTGATTGTCTGCTGTATAAGTAGAATATTGTTTCCCGATTTTTATAACGATTAGTAATCTAAATTTGCGATAAGTGTACACAAAAATTCTACACTGATGCTCTGGGGTAATTTTTTTTGAAAATCAATGTTACACTTATGTATCAGTGTAACGAAAAATTACACACTCATCATAAGGGTTTTCAAAAATGCTACACTGCTAATCGTGAGTAGCCAAAAACCAAACATAGGCCCTGGACTTGTCACTGGTGTAGACTCTGAATGCTTCAGACTTTTTTTTTTAGGCACTCTGAAGTTTCAGCCTTTTTTTTCAACCAACTCTGATCAAATCAGACTAACACAGTGTACTAAGTCTGACAAACCAGACAGGCCAAAAACGAATCTGAGGGCCTGGCTTGAAGTGACTTACCGTAAGATCCCGGGTTCTAGGTTGGGCTGTCATGTTTCGTAGCCAGGGATTTTTAGAGGGTGAAAATCAGGATTTTTTCTTTAGGAACCCTGAAAATTCAGGCTTTTTTTTTAGGAACACTGAAAATCAGCCTTTTTTTCACAGGGACCCTGGTCCCTGATGCATCAGCATCCCTAAAAGTGAATTTGAGGGCCTGATCAAGTGCATGAGTAATGGGGGAAGAAAGCGCATCGGTGGGTGGGAGAATGGCATGACACTCGACCACATGGTTAGGGTACATACGGTACAGACTTGTGTAGGCAGGCGCAACAATTCGAAATTCGGACCCATAGGATCTGCTTCTGCTCATTATCTGAACTCAATGACCCTCCTAACACTCTTATCCTTTCCCACCTTTCCTTCCTCATTCCCTCTCCCTCGCCCTCTCCCCCCTTCTCCCCCTCCCCTCCTTCTTGGCCTGACAAGGAACGGAGCACCTAGGGCCTGAGCAATGGCTTGTCGGCCGAACTTGCGCAGAATGTATCTCACGTCCAGCCGCCCAGCCGCCACCAGCTGCACGTCTGTGGGGAAGCCCCGCCCCTGCCTCTCCACCACGCCCCCCCTCACCGCCTCCTCCCACACCGCCCTCTCCTCCACCTCGTCCCATTCTAGGAGAGAATCAGGAGGAGTAAGGGGAGCCGGTGAGGAGTGGGCAAGTTGAGGAGGGGTGAGAGGCTGGGAGGAAGGCTGGTGAGATGGGTGGGGAGTGAGTAGCTGAGAGGAGAGTGGTTGGGGGGACGGGGGGAGCAGGCCCCAGTGGCGGAGGAGGAAGGAGCGCACAGCAGCAGCAGCCACGTGCTCATCTGCCCAGTGCCCGCGGCCGCGCTTGCTGAGCCGCACGCCCAGGTAGTCTGCCACTGCCCCCGGGCCCCCACTGCGCCGCACCGCCGCCACCAGCTGCTCGCCCTCCCAGGCACCTGCTGGGCCTTGGGACACGGCAGACGCACTTGCAGAAGCACACTCCTCCATGCCTCCACACCGCCACTCTGATGCCACCAGCTGCTCGCCCTCCCAGGCAGAGGCGTGGGGCGTGACACGGGGAGAGTTTCGTGACCCACGCTGCTCCGATTGAGTGGTTGGGGTTGCTGGAGGAGCGGCAAGGGCGAGAATTTGGGAGGAGGTGGGGAAGGTGGAGAGGCTGTGCGTGAGCATGAGTGCTCTCACCCTGCCTGCTGTCGCCTCCAGCATCTGCTGCCGCGCCCCCCGCCCCACCCGCCTCCTCAGCCTGCCGTCACCACCACTGCTGCTCCCACCGTTGCTGCTCTCAGCGTTGCCGCTTTCATCACTACCATTTCCCCCTGATTCAGAGTGAGCGTGAGTGTCAGTGTGAGCGAAATTGTTAGTGTGAGACAGAGTGTGAGTGTGAGTGTGAGCGTCACCATGAGTGCGAGTGTGAGTTTGAGTGTGAGGGTGCAGGGTACCACCCTCCCAACGCACCACCACACTCTCCAGCCCGCCCCAGCACCCACTCTCACGGCCCAGCTCCCTGGCCACGAGGCGGTAACCACCATGCAGCACGATGGCATGGTGCAGATCGTACCGCCCTGCACCCACCACATCCCTCACACGCGGCATCACCGCACTGCCTTCCGCACTCGCCACCACCAACCCTTGCCCGTCATCAAACACACTCCTGCTGCTGCCGCCGCTGCCATTGCTGAAACTGCCCTTTGCTTCCCACCCAATGCTTCCAGTGCTTTCGCTGATGCTGCTGCTGCTGCTGCTGCCGCTGCTGGTGAAGGCGGTAGCAGCAGCATCTGAGGGCCAACAAGTGGCTCGCTGCAACAGCTCAGAAAAGGAAGGCTCTGCTGTTTCACCAGCAGCAGTATCACCAGTAGCAGCACTACCATCGCCACCACTGCTATGATCATCAGCAGCATCAGTACCACCTCCACTTTCATCACCTTCAGCAGCAGCACTGCGACGAGCGCGAGACGCAGCGAGAGCAAGAGTGACAGCTCGGGCAGCAGCAGCAGCGGCGGCCATGGCAGCACGCACCGCCTCTTCATCCCTCAGCACCGCACTCAACACCTCCCCCGACAAGAAGTTGCGGAGCCGCACCCGACCCAGATACAAACTTTCCGTGGTCCCCTCCCCCTTTCCTCCCTCTGCTTCCTCCTGCCTACTCTCCGTGTCACCGCACTCCACCACCCAGCACCGCGACACAAACGCCTCGATCTCCTCGTCCACGTTCCCCAAGTCCTCCCAGAAACCCGTCGGGCGGCGCCGGGCGGCAAACCCCAGCGCCTGCGCCACTGCAAGCTGGCCGCCGGCAGCGCTGATGTCAGCGATGAGGTCATTCCGGCCGGCTGCTCTGAGCTGGCGGATAGTGGGCATGACGGGTGGGGCGGGGGTGGTGCAGGGTGTTTTGAAGTTGGGGGGTGTGAAGGGGGCTGTGAGACGAGAGGCAGAATGCCGCCGCCGCCGCTGCTGCTGCTGCTGCTGCTGCTGCTGTTCCGCCAGCTGAGCACAGAAGGCGAGCAGCTTGGGGCGGAGGGCGTGCAGGCGCACGGCCTGCCAGCCCAGGTCGAGCAGGCCCGGGGGGGGAGCGATGGTAAGGGCTGCTCGGTGGGGGTGCGCGGCCACGAGAATGGCGGCCTCTAGCGGGATCAGATGCTCCACTGGCGGCAGCGGGGCGAGGGACGTGGGGGAGGTGGGGGACGCAGGGGAGCCGGGGGAGGAAAGTGGGGCAGAGGAGGAGGAAAGGGTGGTCCAGTCAGCCTCTTCCATGCTGTCCTGCCACGTCAGCGTGGATTTGCCTTGTCCGCTTCCTCGTCTGCGCCCGCTGCTGTTCCCCATGCGCGCAGCAGGAGGAGCGTCCCCCACCACGCGCATCACATACGCGCGAATGCCCTCACCTACCGCCTTCCTCCTCCCTCTCCTCATCCACTCCTCCATCTCCCCTCCCAACCCCCATTGCCTCGTCTCTTCCCATCGCTCCTCCGACCCCCCACTTTCCCCATCCACCTCCTCACCCTCCTCCCCTTCCTCCCCCACCACCTCCTCTCCAACAGCCAGCCCAACCCAAGCACCAAAGCCACCACCACCGGCACTACTATCATTGCCCATGGCGTCTGCAGCCCCCCCAACAGCGGCCACTTCAATCACCTCCTCCACTCGCCCCACCACCCACCTCCTCCCCTCATACCACCCCTTCTCCTCGCCCTCCCAAGGCCCCTCGGGATCGCCGATCGTCCCAGCGTTAAGCTCTGCGGCATTGGGTGCGGCAAGCTCAACGCGCCACCCCTCGATGCTGATCAGCCCTTTCAGCACCTCCTCCCGAACGTCTCGCTCTGCCGAACCGACTGAACCAGACTTCCGAACGTCTCCTTTCTTCTTCGGTTCGGACTTTCGCCCCACCCGACGGGCCTCCCGAACCTCCTCCGTACTCCATCCTCGCGATATAGCCCCGGCTCGGCAAGAACAAGCGTCCGGGGCTGGTAAGTCTGTTCTGTCGCTCAGTCTCGGCAAACGCGGGTGCTTAGGAGTGATTACGACTCGGGCGGGGAACGCAGGAGGCGGAAACGTGAGAATGGAGCAGTGAGTGCGACGCGCGAGGGCGCGGGAATGAGGGAGAGTGAGAGACATGCGACAAAAGTCAATGGCAATGCGGTTTGCTGTGTGGGAGAAAGGAGGTGTATCGGGGAGGCACCACGAAAGTCTTACGTCGTCACATCAGCACTCTGGTGCTGCGCTGGTGGAATCTCACGACTTGTGTAGGGTCCGAGCAGGAACCTCGCTTTGCTGTTGGGTTGGGTGGTGCCCTTAAACCGAATGAACTCGCTAAGAGTGTTCCCGAACGAAGTGTATGGTGCAGGCAGGGACTCGGTGAGGTCTACAGTTAACAGAGGCAGAGTCAGTTTTGTTCATGCGATCAAATTCTTGAGCCTCTAAACAGAAGAGAGCATTTTGTTGCAGCACAATAGATTGGGACTCCAAAATGGAAGACCATCCTAGACAGGTATGCACCCTAAAAATATATATATTTTCCAAACGCACACATTATACTTGCCCGGTTTTCATACCTGAATAATTAACCAGCCGGATCTCAAGTACCACAAGTGTTTTGCAATTGACATATGTAGGTGTTCTGTTATTGGATGGCGATTTGTGAAAGTTGACAAGCACGCAGCTGTCAAACTGCATGTTTGTGTTCTCTCTAGGCTAAAGTGGGTTAGCCTACTGTTGGAAACAAGTTACATAAGCGCTTTTGATGTGCCGAAACACCGAACTGCAAGCGAAGCAAACTACAACGAAGCATCGGTGAGTCAACAGAGGAGGTTGACAGAAAATGTAACTGGTGGAGGTTACGCGAAGGTCAAAGGTCGCTGACCTTTGACTCGACAAATACAACACGACAGCAGTTGCCCGAGTCGTCACTGTATTGAACCGCAACAGCAACAGTAAAACGGTTATTGCATCCTTTCACATTCCTTGTAATCTTATAAAATGCTTGTATTATCTTTCTATAATAAATCTACTTTGCACTCACACACTAGCGCAAGGTGGTTCAACACTTATCATTCAAACGCTTCCGCAACTACAACACTTCTACTCAGAGTTTAGCCTTGAAAAGATCCTAAGGGCTTTTCTCAGCCCAACACCTACAAGGGATACAACACTTTAAGGTTAGTACTTGTACCCAACTCATTCATAGTTCATTGATTCCTGCAGAGTTGATTCTGACATGGTATTCAAAGCAGGAAACCTGTTAGGTTTTTATTGCCCACCGATCGTTCCGCTAGTTCCTTCCCGAAGCGCCCTTACGTTGTCCAGCCCTCTCGCACAATGCCAGGCTGCCCTGCAGCTACTCGCACTGCCTGCCCTAGCGCGCTGCCCTGCTGTCACGCGTGCCAGCGCTGCCCGCGAGCAGCTCGTGCGACGCATTGCACTTTGGCGCGCGCCTCGGGGCGCGCGGCCCCTTTCTTTTCTGGCGCGCCGCCCGCTGCCCCGTCGCGCCGCCTAGGGGAGCCACGCGCGGCCCCTGCCCGTCCGTTACGACGGTCTGGGGTGTCGCGCGCAGCCCCGTCGCCGCCCGCAGCGACCCCGTCCCCACCCGCCGCGGCCCCGTCTCCGCGGGCAGCGGCCCCGTCGCCGCCCGCGCGGCCCCGTCGCCGCCGCAGCGGCCCCGTTGCCGCCGCAGCGGCCCCGTCGCCGCCCGCGCGGCCCCGTCGCCGCCACAGCGGCCCCGTCGCCGCCCGCAGCGATCCCGTCCCCACTCGCCGCGGCCCCGTCTCCGCGGGCAGCGGCCCCGTCGCCGCCCTCCCGCTGCCCCTTCGTGGCGTCGTGGGGAGCTGCGCACGGCCTCTCGCTGCCCCGTGGTGGCGCCCTGGGGGCCGCGCGCCGTTCTCCCCGTCGTCCCCCGCGCTCCCTCCCCGTCCCACCCGTTTTTGGGTTTGGGGGTGAGGAGTGTGGGGGTGGTGGTTGTGGGGATGTCCGCTGTGCGCGCCGTACCCCTCTTCTCCTCCTCCTTCGTCTCCCACTGCTGCAGCTGTCTTTGAGGGGGGTGGATGAGTGGGAGACTGGGGTTTAGGGTTTAAGGGGGGTGCGTGGGAGTGAATCTAGGGTTTGAGCAGTGGGCGTGTGTCGAGAAGTGTGGGGCAGTTGGGGAAGGTTGAGTGGAGGCAGCAGTCTTGTCGTAAGCAGCAGCAGCAGTCCGGAGGCTACAATCTCCGGTAGTCGCCAGTCGCCCGTGGGTCCGTTGCTCGTCTGCCGCTACTTTTAGCCGCGGGGCCAGTTATCCCAGTAGTCCGGAGCGCTGTTTAGGTAGCCACTGAGCCAGCAGCTCGTCTGTGTGTCTGCAGCGTCAGCAGTCGCCTCCCATCTTCTCTCCCCCACAGCTCCTCCTCCTCCTCACTTGTCCGCTGTGATTAGCTCTAGCTTTGCTTATCTGTGTAAACTCCTGCTCTATACCTACTTTCTCACTGTGCTGATTACACCCCACTTTGGCTATGGGGGTGTGTCAGGATGTTATTCTCTAGCCTGTAGTGGGGTGCTCTATAGCGAGTACAACCCATCTAGGGTTTGCTATTTGTATCCTCATTCTTGCTAGTGAACTTCCTCTTTGCCTAAACTATTCTTGCCTAGCTAGGGCTTTCTTAGCTATGGCTCCTGATTCTCTCTACTATCTTCACAAGCAGCCCCTGCCCCGAGCGCTCCTGCTGGCCGCGAGCAGCCCCTGCCCCGAGTGCCCCTGCTGCCCGCGAGCAGCCCCTGCCCTGCGCGCCCCTTCTGGCCACGAGCAGCTCCGCAGCCCAGCGCGCCAGCGCGCCCTGCTGCTAAGCACGCCAACGCGCTCCGCAGCCTGGCGCGCCAGTGCGCCCCACAGCCCAGCGTGCCAGCGCGCCCCGCTGCTAAGCACACCAGCGCGCCCCGCTGCTAAGCGCGCCAGTGCATCCCGCAGCCCAGTGCGCCAGCGCGCCCCGCTGTTAAGCGCCAGCGCGCCCCGCTGCTAAGCGCCAGCGCGCCCCACAGCCCACCGCGCCAGCGCGCCCCACTATGAAGCGCGCCAGCGCGCCCCGCTGCTAAGCGCGCCAGCGCGTCCCGCAAACCTAAATGAATTATAGTAATAATGTTTAATTCAGAAAAAAATGAGCGCTAGCGCGCCCTGTTGCCCAGTGCGCTACTGCTACACACGCTGCTACTGCTGCGTTGTGCCTTGCCGAGCAGCGCTGCCCAGGCCGAGTCGCGCCGCCCAGCTCGAGCCGCCCTCCTGCTACTACTGCTGCTACTGCAACTGCTCGTGCTACTGCTGCTGATGGAGGTGTTGCTGAGAGTGCTGGAGGTGCTGCTGGTGCTGGAGGTGCTGGACTTGCTACTGACCGTCAGTGCCTGTCATGGCCACTATCACAGTAGTTGCAGCAGCTAGGGGTGGACAGCAGCTGCCACTTCCTCTCCCGGACGACCCCACCCCTCAGCAGCTTCGTGAGTGGGTTTTTCAGCGATGCAAACCTGGTGGTGAAGGTTTAGGTTTTATGGGTACTGCACAGAGGCGGCAACTGCGTCCACAGTGCACCTTCTCCATGCAACGGCCTCGCGACTGTGCTTCTCAGTGGTGCGTCTCTGGTTGTGTAGAGGCTGTTGCTCTAGGTGCTAGTGAATCTGCTGCCGCTCCAAGTGCTAGTGAGTCTGCTGCAGCTCTAAGTGCTCGTGAGTCTGCCGACGCTCTAGGTGCTAGTGCGTCTACTACCACAGGTCCTGCCTCAGCTGAGGCCTTGCACACTTTCACGCTTGACTCAGGTGCGTCACGCTGCTTCTTTCGTGATTGCACCACAGTCACACCACTCGCAGCACCTGTCCCAGTCTCACTGGCTCATCCGACTGGGGGCCCAGTAGTTGCGCGAGCCTCTACTGTCCTCCCGTGTCCGGCAGTCCCTTCCGGGTCTCTCTCAGGTCTACACCTCCCCGCGTTCTCAACCAGAGAGACTGTGGCTGAGTCAGGTCAGGTGACTGTGTCGAGTCGGGTGTCTGTGGCTGGTCAGCTTGCAACGTCTTGCTCGTGTCGGATACTCTCTTACCGGACTCTCCTCTGGTACCACCGCCTAGGTCACCCCTCGCTGTCGCGTCTCCGCAGCATGCACTCCCGTCTCCTTGTCTCTGGCCTTCCCAGGTCCCTACCCTCCCTACCGCGCTCGCCTGCACCGCCGTGCCTTCCCTGCATCGAGGGGTGGCAGCGCGCCGCCCCTACTCCTACGAGTTTCCTCCGACCACTGCTCCTCTGCAGACTCTCCATATGGACGTTTGGGGCCCGTCCCCCGTCTGTGGAACGGACCAGGAGCGCTACTTCTTGCTGGTCGTTGAAGACTACACACGCTACACCACTGTCTTCCCCTTGCGGCGCGAGGCAGACGTCAGCGGTGTTTTGATCCCCTGGATCCGTGCTTCTCGTCGCCAACTGCGCGAGCGGTTTCATCGAGACTTGCCAGTCTTGCGCTTGCACTCTAACAGGAACGGTGAGTTCTCTTCTGGCCTCCTTGAGGAGTTCTGTTGAGACGAGGGCATCCACCAGAGGTTCACGCTTCCGGCCTCTCCTCAGCAGAATGGGATTGTTGAGCGTTGCATTGGCTTGA